GTAATCAACTCTAAATGCTAACCGGAGCTCCAGCATAATGAACATAGAAAATTGCATCCAGTGGTCTGCAAGTAAGTCACTGGTGACCAAGAGGCGAAAAGTACTAGGTGTAGAAGCCATGTGGAGTTGGGCAGAGTGAATGAGGAAAGATGTGATCTGTGGCAAAAGTGGGTGGGAGCTGGGAGGGAGCTAATGGCATCCAGGAAGAGACTTTTTGGTTTGTTAGGGAAAGTTTAGATGTATTTATGCCCTAATAGAGGAGAAGTAGTTGAGAGGGAGAATTGGCTGTATGAGAAGATGAGCTATTGCAGTGATCCCAGAAAAGACAAGAAGGGGACAGGATGCAGAAGCAGGGAGTATTCACATAGGTAAGGAGTGCCATCACATGGGCGTTTGCACCCATACTGTAGGAGATACCTTCTAAAAGGATGGGGCTTTCCAGCGGAGTCCAAGTTGCCATTCCACTTAGAAATACAATAAATATGTCCCTATGTCTCCCAGCCCTTTTATAAAACAGCTTGAGATATAATTAGTTCACCTATTCTTTTATTCAGATCTGTTGCTACATTTTAGGTATGCATAATGATCATCATCATTACAGGGACTTTGTTCCTGTGTGTAACCCCTCTCCCTTATTTACAAAAGCTTTGTTTCCTTTTTTCTTCATTCTCATTTTTTTTTCTTTTCCCTTCCGTTCCTCCTCCCCACTCCCTAGTTCCTCTTCCCAGTTGAACATTTTCTTCCTATTTCACAATATCTGTCATACATTTTGGTCCTTATTTACACTTGATTTCTCATACCAGAGAAATAATGCAGTATTTTTACATGTATGTCTGATTGATCTCGCCTGAGTATGGCTTCAAGGTGCATGTATTTAACTGGAAATGTCACAAGTTCATTCTTCTTTATGGCAGAGTAGTACTCCATTATATTAAAAAAAAAAGGCCACACCTTCTGTTATCCATTCATCAGGTGATGGACATATAGGCTGTTGCCAAGATTTAACTATTATAAATTGTGCCACTATAAACATTGGTATGGGTGCCGGGGAGGTAGCTCAGTAGAATAAGTGCTTACCTGGCAAGTACAAGGGCCTGAGTTCAATCCCTGGTTCTGCAAATAAATAAATAAATAAATAAATAAATAAATAAATAACATTGGTGCAGATGTGTATGTGTCACTGTGATTATGATGCTTGTCTTTCAGGAAGATACCAAGAAGAGGATTAGCTAGGTCCTAGTTCACCTATTTAAAATGTACAATTCCATGGTTTTTAATTTTTTCATAAATATGTATCATCATAATCACAGTCAATTTTAGAACATTTCATGACCTCAAAAAGAAACCCGTGTCCTTTAACTGTCACATGTCTTTCTCAACCACATGTTGCCAGAGAAGAGCATGGAGTGCTATCTAAACTCAAATTTAAAAATCACAATGAATTCAGAGAAGAGTCTAAAGTGAAGAGTTACTAAGTACTTTAAAACTCTGGTCTAACCAGAGGAGAAAAGGAGAATAAGGCCTACCACTCAGGGTCACTAGTACAAAACCAACAGATACTGTGCTCAAGAAACCTATTAAATGTCACTTTCTTCCATCTCAGAATCATGTAAAAATAAAGATTAAGGAAATTGGATTGTGAAAACAATATGTGAGTAAATTATAAGAGAACAGTTTTTCTTGGCGGTTTTCTCTTGACCCAGAAAAATTATATTTTATGTTGCTTACGAGTTGCTTATAGGGTCATAAACTGCTGTCAGAAATCTCTTGAGTGATATAGAGAATAAGGTAGTAACAGTGGGCTGGAAAAGAAATACTCTGCTTAACGTTGATAGTAAGTTCTCATAGTGGAATTACTTGATGAGGATTTATAAACATTCAGAAGTCATAGAAATCAGTATAAGCTTAGAGAGGAGCAATACAAAGTGAACTTCATTTTATTTTCTTACAGTCAGGAAATATGGAGGAGTGTTTTTTACAGCCAGTATATTCAACAGAAAGTTCTTTGAATGTTTTAGAAGGAGGTACCTGTATTAAGTGGCTAACCAGCCATATGCAGACATTATTAATAGTTATTGAAACAGAGCACAATTCTAAGCCATAATGGTAGCCTCCAGAGGTCAGAGGATACTAATGTGAAAGCAGCAACTGATGTGCTGGACGTCCTTCAGAACACAGCAGCACCTCCATGGCCTTGAGTGCTAGGCTAATGATGAGGTTACCTAATGACAAGAGTTGTTTGCTCCAGTTTAAGAACATTTGGAAAATTCAGCTTTTACAAGCAGGACCTATGAAAGCTAGAGAGCTTTGGTTCACTTTAAACTTCCTGAGTCAGTTATGGGATAGCCTTGCCAAAATTCTTAAAAGTACCTCTGGGCTACGTTAATGTTTGTAAATACACAAGTGGCACTCTGGTGGCTTTGGTATAATCCATTCCAAGTAGGACTGGAACATTAGTGCTGCCCTTCTTAGAATGATAATTACTTTTTTTTTTTTTTTTTTTTTTTTTTTTTTAGGAAAGGGTCTACAGGGTGTTCAGGGTCTCACTACTAGAACAGACTCATAGTGATCCTACTGTTTACAGCCTCCCAAGAGCTGGGATTACAGGTGCACATCGCCACACCGAGTCTCAATTGCTGGCTCGGTGTGCCCTGGGGGGCGGGGCCAGCATCGCAGGCCCAGGGATTGAATCCCCAGCCCCTGTGCCTGCTTGCTTTAATCCACTGAGCTTTTTGGCCAGCCCTTAAATGATAATTAAACTCAGAGAAAGTTTCCTGAAAAAGGTGACAGTTTAAGGAAGATAGGCAAGCTGCTTCAAATAAGAGCCCTGTGCAGAAGAGAAGTGAAAATACTGCCTCATCTGCAGAGCAAAGCCAGAGCCAGCACAGTGTGGTGAAGCAATATTTGTCCCCTTATAAAATCAGTTAACAGCTATTTGATCTGAAACCTGGCAATACTGCATTACTGGGCACTGGAGATGCTCGAGATGCAGTAATGTGATCATCTGGTGAGAAGGTCGTAAAGCAGTGTAGCATTCATTCTTTAAGTACTGTTACCTGCCAATCTGTGAATCTGTGCTAATTTGTCTCTCAGGTATATTTCTGGTTGTAAATGTTTCATTTTCTTTTTATTCTTATTTTTTATTTTTCTGTATTTTAGGGAAGGATCTACAGGGTGTTCAGGGTCTCACTGCTAGATCTGACTGTTAGTGATCCGCCTGTTTACAGCCTCCTAAGTGCTGGGATTACAGGCACATGCCACCACACCCAGTCTCAGTTGCTGTCTCAGCATGCCCTGGGGGCAGGGCTGGCAGGCAGGCCTGGGGATCGAACTCCTGAGCAGGCACTTTAATCTGCTGATCTATTTGGCCCGCCCTTTTCCAGCTTTTTCTTAAATTGCCTATTTTGGGGTCTGGGATACATAGCTCTGTGACATAGCACCTGCCTGGCAAGCACAAGATCCTGCATTCAGTTCCAGGTACCAAAAAAAAAAAAAAAAAAAAAACAGCCAGTTCACTTTTAAAGACTTTTCTAAATAATATGGAAAAATATTTTCTGTTTACTCACATTATTATCTCCAGTTTTCCGTATTCTGTAGTACAAGTCTACTGTAGATAAAGTCTTTCAGCTTGTATGTTTGTAAGAAACTGAAGAATTAAGTAAGGCCTAAAATCTACAATAAACATTGTGAAAGGGAAAGAAACTACTCAAAAAGAGAAAGAATCAGGATGGCTTAAAGGAGAAAAGAAGGAAAGGGTGAAGTGGGTGGGTGGGTGGGTGGGTGGGTGGATGGATGGATGGATGGATGGATGGATGGATGAGTTAGGTATACGACTGACTTTTAGTTCATTGAAAAAAAAAGGTTTGTAGAGGGCCTGCCAAATAGCTTAGTGGATTAAAACGCCTGCTTAGGCAGATTCAGGGACCAAGGTTCAATCCCCAGTTGTGCCGAGACGAGTTGAGACCGGGAATGGTAGCGCATCCTTGAGTCCCAGCGCTTGGGAGGCTGAAAGCAGGAGGTTTACTGCAAGTCATATCTGTGTAGTGAGATCCTCAAGACCCCATTATTTAATCAATTATGCGTAACTGTATCTTGTTATATTAACCATTGTTAATCTGTTATCTTGTTTTTAATTTTTTTTTTTTCCTTCAAAATAAAAAACTTGCCTTTAAAAAAAAAAATTTGTTTCAGGGGCCTGCCCCTTAGCTCAGTTCTTCGGGGCCGGGGAAATAGCTCAGTAGAATAAGCGCTTGCCTGGCAAGCGCAAGGGCCTGAGTTCAATCCCTGGTTCCGCAAAAAAAAAAAAAAAAAATTGTTTCATGTTGTTGTTGAAAGATATTTTCACGGAGTATAAAATTCTAGATGACAGTTTATTTGATTACATATTTTCTCAGTCATGTAACAATCGTCCTCCACCATCTTTTTGACTCCCATCATTTCTGTCAAAAAATCTATTGTCAGTCTTTGTCCGTGTTTATATCCCTTCGGCTGTTTTTGGTTTGGTTGGTTGATTGGGGTTTTTTGGTGGTACCAGGGATTGAACTCAGGACCTTCTGCTTGTAAGGCAAACATTCCCTGGCCACCTTTGACTGTTTCTAAGACTTTTATCACTGAATTTCAACAATTTAGCTACTCAGTACTTTGGTATAGCTTTCTTTTTTTCTTGCACTTGGGATTTGTCAACTTTTTAGCAGTGTTAAAGTCACCTCATTGCTCACTGTGAGGCCTTCCACTCCCCCCAGACCGTATTTTATTTTGCAAAAATTTTTACTGCTCTGTTAACATTTTCTGTAATATCTAATTGCTAATCCCATCTATTATGAATTTTATCGCAGACGTATTTTATTTTTGTTCTGTAGTTTTTATCTTCTATAATATGTTTAATTTTTCTAGAATATGTTGAATATAGTTGTTAATAGTAACACCATTAATATTCATGTTTCCCTGGCCTTAAAACGGATTGTTTTTCTTTTCTTTCCCAATCTCTCCCCCTAAACCAGGCTACAGAAGAAGTTTCCAAAAACCTGGTTGCCATGAAAGAAATTCTTTATGGCACAAATGAAAAAGAGCCACAGACAGAAGCAGTGGCCCAGCTAGCTCAAGAGTTATATAATAGTGGGCTCCTTAGCACCCTGGTAGCTGATCTACAGCTCATTGACTTTGAGGTAAGATAGCAATTTATTAATTTTCTAAAATAGTACTCAATTCATCATCCTTTCCCTTATGTTCTCTTTTGAATCTTAAGATCTCTGTTGGGCTCTCAGCCCAGAAGTTCTTGACCTCTGAGCACACCAACATGTCCTCCTCATTAGCAGAACCAGGGCAGGAACCCAAGGTGTCTCAGGCCTCTGCCACATTGTGCGCAGTTTTTTAGGTACTCAGTTTGCCCTTTTATTTAGGATGTAGTATATAAATAACTGCTATTAGAGCAGTAGAGTGGGTTACATGATTCATTAGACTTTAGCTCTCAGGGAATGAACAATCTCAAGAAAACTAGAATGTTGAGTTTAAGGTAGAAAAGATTTTATGGAAAGTTCAATATACCAGGGATCATTAGTGGTTTGTTTGCTTGGTGCTGATTTTAAATTTTTAAATTAGTACAGTATTTAAATAGATTGTATTCACAACTCAGATTTTTTAGCATCTCTTAGAAAATGTATTTGGCAGTATTGGGCCTGCAGCCCAGCTTAGTCCTTCAGCTGGAGCACAGCAGCTTCCCAGGACAGCCAGACTTGGACTTCCTTAGGCAGCTTAGTTTGCTTTACCCATTGGCACCTTCTGCCCAGTAGGCATTTGCGATTGTTACCCAAGTTTACGTGCTTGGTCATGCCATGTTAAATATTTAATGAATTTAATAGTGCAAATACTGATCATTAATACTAGTCTAAATAAACTAGTTTGAGGAGCACATAAGGTAATGAAGCCCTGTGGCATAGTTAGAGGCAGTTTCCTCTTTCACTTGATTGACTGTCCATGCAGGTAAATGCTCTAGGGGGAAACTGACAGAAAGCAAATTAAATTTTGAAGAAGGATGAGAGGGTATGATTCTTATACTACTGTGATAATAGAAGAAAATAACATTTTTTTCTGCTATAGATAGAACTAGATATTTCCATTTATATAGCTCATTTCATATAGTATTTTAATAGCATATCAAATTCCAACAGAAGTTTTATTTCTTCTGCAAAGTTGGCAATAACACTGGAACATTTGGCTCCTTCTCCTTTGCTGTACCCTAACCCAATCTCACTCCATTAACTGGCCACTGAATTTAGTATTCATTTGGGACTTTAGAGACACCAGTTTATAAAAAGTATGTGAATGCCTTTGGGACTAGGTGGGACTGGCTTGTAAAGGTTGCCATTGCTGCACATGAGCTAGCACAAGCCCCTTGATGGTCTTGCTGCATTAAGTGAGGCTTGAAATGCTAGCATTTCACTACTGTCTGAGGGCTTCTCAGCCTTGGTACAGCGCCGTTCTGAAACACCTCTTGGGTCCAGTTCTCCATTTATTAATGTCTTGTGCTGTTTTTGTGAGATTCTCAGATAGTAATGTCCATCTACTCTGTGCAGAGTTGTGATCTCCAAACTGCTATACCATGTCCCTCACTATTCATCTATTTGAAATGTCTACTAGCCATCAAAACTCAGCTCCATACAGAATTCTTTCATTTTATTATATCTTAATATATCAGTAGAAAACCCTGTATGATTTGTAGCACAAGCATCCCATCTGAAGCTTTTTCTACTTAAGTGCGATTTAGAGCCCTGTAGATTGTTAGCAAATAGCAACATTTTATTTTCCATATTTGAGTGAGTATGATTTTGAGAGTACGAAGTTATGAAAATTACATGTGGGATATAATGAGATTTCACTTTGTAAACTTGTTGTTGTTAAAAATAGTATACTATTACAATTTAGAGTTTGGAATTATGAAGAGATAAAAACAAGAAAATTTAATGTATGAAAATTTCAAAGTTAGGTATTCAGTTGTAACTATAAATATAAAGTGGTTTTCTTCAAGTTTATTTGGGAGGGTAGATGGGCATTCTGTTGTTTAGTTAGGTAAATATTTTAATGATTGTATTCCTAATAGGGCAAAAAAGACGTGGCTCAAATTTTCAACAATATCCTCAGAAGACAAATTGGTACAAGAACTCCTACTGTTGAATACATCTGCACCCAACAGAATATTTTGTTCATGTTATTGAAAGGGTATGTACAATGTGATAAAGTTTATATTTTTAGTAAAAATAAAAGGGAAAGATTACTTTGGTAAAGCAAGAATGATGAATGTGGGAAGCATTTTTATCAGCACATTTTCCATAGGTCTTAAACATTTCACTCCTTAAAATCTACCCTATAGGCAAGCATGGTGGTACACGCCTGAAATCCCAGCATTTGGGAATGTGAGGCAGGAGGATCACTGTGAGTTCAGCAGCAGCCTCGGCACCTGGTTAGTTTAAGGGCAGACCCAGTCTCAAGGGGAAAAAAATGCAACCTATAAGCAAAATTTAATATAAAAATGCCCTATACTTTAAAATAGGGGCCAGCCAGATTGCTCAGTGGATTAAAGTACCTGCTTAGGCAGACACAAGGACCAAGGTTCGATCCCTGGCGTGCTGTGCTGGCCCTGGACTCACTGAGATGGCTATTGAGACTGGGCGTTGTGGCACACACCTGTAATCCAAGCTCTTGGAAAGCTGAAAACAGGAGGCTCACTATGAGTCCGATCTGTGTAGTGAGACCCTATAGACCCTGTACTAAGTACATTAAAAAAATAATAAATAGGGTAAGTTATCAGCCTTTAAATTCACAAACATAACTGAAGCAAAGAAATACAAAACAAAGAAGAAAGTTTTGTGTCTGTGTAACTCAACAAAGTTGAGTTTTGTTGAAATACCAGCTAAATCATATGTTAAAGCTGGCTCCTCTGCAGCATGACAGCCAGAGAGTGGACGTGGAGTGTGGCCACTGTGTGGCTTTGCTTTGTTTGGTCAGCAGAGCCCGTGTTGCACTGTGGTGCACATGAGTTCTACCTCTGTGCCCTCACTCACTAACCCACTTAGTTTGGTAATTCACAGTGTATCTCCATGGAATTACTACCAAACTATGCAGTCATTGGTGATTGAGTAGTCCATCATTAAAAAAAAATAAAAGTAAAAAAAGCCCTAAAACCTGAAACTTAAAAATCAAGAAGCAGATCCTTTTCTATCTTAGCACAGAGCCTCCCTGAACAGCAAGATAATTTCCTATTGTTGGGCACCAGAGTTACCCGCCAGCCCTGGGTGTGCTGTGCCTCTTTCTGCCCCCATGTCAGCAGTGTTGTTGGGCTGGTGGGCAAGCACATTATCAGCATGACTAGCGGCATGAACCAGCTTGCTTTCCTACCAACTGCTTCGCAGCTTGCCTCATTCTGATTCATATCTCTCTGGTTTAACACTTCCCCCAGTTCAAACTTGCTTTTACAGAGCATGAGTCAGTGCGTTGTTGCTTACCAGCATTCCATTTCCTCCTTTCTATTTTAATCACCCATGGTGCCTCTTCAGATGTTGCCATACACATCTTAATTTTTGTATCATATCAGTCCACTGTTGCTGTATAAACACTTAGTGGATAGGTTGGAATTTTGGTGTTCTTAGCGCAGCTTCCAGTTGCCTTTGTTTTTTTAATATCACTATTTCCTTTTCCATAGAAACAAGTGGTTATTATAATCCATAAATTAGTTAACTCTACCCGTGACTTCACAGTAGCCAGAAAAATGATATAAACCTTGTTAGTCATTGTACAACGTAAGACATTTTTAAAGTTAAAACTTTCATCTGAACTGGCCAAAGTAGAAACTTCAGCCAAGTGGGAAAGAAGGAGAAACATGGAGAATAAATAGAGCAGTGTTTGGGCCACTCCCACCTCTATCCAGCCCCTCAACTTTTGTTGTAGGAACTATATATATGCACAGCCAGAGAATTATCACAGCCATGCTTTCCTCCCCATAACTGCTTCAGCAGTTACTGTCTGTACAAGCTCCTTTGCCACCAGTGAGACACAGTACTTGATACTTAAAGGAGGAGTCAGTACTTTGTTTTCAGTTTCCAGGCTTTCAGTCCAAAGTCCGCCAGTCCTCAGGCAGATGCAGTCTGGTACAAAGGCCTGGTGGAAGACAGCTACTCAGCTCCTGTCACCTTCCACACACATGCAGCTTTAGGGGCTACTGTAGCTCTGAGCCACCACACTGCCGTTGTGCCCTTCTGCTTGCTCTCCTTTGCTGCTTTCTCTCACACCTGATTTGATATCAAGTGTGCACCCTTGTCCATGATCCCACAGTGTAACACTGTGATGCCTTTTACAAGCCTAACTGTCCAGTGCTTTAATCTCAGATTTCCTCAATTTTCACAAAAATGACACTTTATGGTTACTTTGTTTTAAACCAGTTTCTAAAGATCCAGATTAAATGCCTTTATCTTATACTTTGAGTAATTTTTGGTTTGGTTTGGTTTGTCTGGTTTTTTGTACTGGGGATTAAACTCAGGACCTTGTGCTTGCCAGGCAGGTGCTTAACCGCTGAGCTATCTCCCTAGTCCTGAGTAACTAATTTTAAGATAACAATGTGCAGTGTATTAATCATTGTTACCCTCCTGTTATCTTGTTTTGATGTTTTCTTTTCTCTTTAGAATAAACAAGGTCCATAAACCAAATTTGATTGATTAGACTTTTATCTTTTCTGTTAATGTATAAGGATTGATGCCTCTTCTTTGTTTTTTAATTCATGCCATTTATCGAAGCAACTGGGTCATTTGTTGTGTAGAAAAATCATATGTTTGCACCTGTGGTTTTTGTTTTGCTGCCCCATGTTCCTATAAATTGGTGCCTGGATCCTAAGGGTTTGGTTGCATTCACATTCATTTTGAGGCAGGCATAAACTCTTCAAAGATGATGTGGTGTATTTTCTGTTGGATAGCACTGGTTTTCCCACTTGGGGTAATAGTACAGTGTTGTCAGTCTGAAGTCTGTCCATTTTGAAGTTCTCCACTGACCTTTTCACCTTAATGTATACATTGAGATATAAAGAAGAACCTGATCTCATTGATAACTTATCCCAAAGTATGATCCCCTACAGGAAAGACCACTATCATTGCTTTAATTAGTTGATGGTCTGCCCATTTTCTTAAATGAATGTTGAATATTTTGGTTTGGTTTGGTTTGGTTTTTTAAAAAAACACACTGAATGTGTTCCAGTGCATCTCAATCATTACATTTTTATGTCCATGTTGTCCCATGTTGGGCCACTGGGTGCTCCTTCAGGTTGGCTCCCCTGTCCCTTGGCAAGAAGGTCCTTATAGCTTCCTTGCTTTTTGGCACAAGATTATCACCTTGCTCATTTTGTAGGGTTCGTGCCAAACTAGAAATAGCTATTTGTTTGGAGAGCCCAGTGAACTACCTTTTAAGATTTTTGTATTTTAGTTAGCTAGTTTAGACTACAGTTGTCTGTCTTATTAGGTTGTAAGTTCATCAGCGTTAGGTATTGGGGGAAAGTTTCACTGCTAATACTGGTGTACATTTCACATCTTACTGCTAGCAGTGGGCTGAGTTTGAAGGACTGGTGTTTTACTGGCAATTTAAAAGTTAATATGTTCTCCAGTGCTAACAAGTTGTGCAGCACAACTGTTTACCTTGTACTGTTTGGTTTATGGTTTAATCATTTAGACAGACTTGATAAACTTCTGTCCAAAACCTGCCCAGTTTGTTGTACCAAACTCCTATCCTTGTCCCTTGTGTTACCTCCTTATTGGAAGATAAGCAGAAATGAATTGTGATGGGTAGACATCTTAATCACAAGCCTCCTCTGATGGCACCTATCTGTTGCCTGGCTGAGCTCTTCATTTCTTGCTGCCAACCTGTAAGAAGAGCCCATAGAATCTCCTGGTTCCCACCATAACTTCTCTATTTCCCTCCCTCAAGCCTGTATCTGATACCAGCTGTCATCCCTAACGGATGCAAAGGAGGCGCAGAATTTTGATCTGGTTGAGGATCTGTGATGAGCATATATACAATAAAAGAATAATGCTGTTGGCAAGATTTTAGAGGATAAAGACAGGTTTGATTAATAAAGCAAAGGTGAATAAAAGAAGGGGAACTAAAGACTGGAGACCCAAGTGGTTTAAGATTTGCATAGGCACAAAAAGAAAGGAAACAAACAGAGCAGGGAGATAGCTCAGTGGTCTAATACACCTGCTTAGGCAAGCTTTAGCAAGCAAGCAGCCCGATTCCAGCACCACATGCCATGCCAGCCCCCATCCCCACCCCACCTGGGGCAGAGCTAGCCACAAAAGCAAGCAACCAAGCAAGAAAGAAAGGAAAGAAAAGAAAAGAAAGATCTGAATAATGAATTACTAAGAACACAGGTTCAGAGGCAGGATTGAACACCATGTGATTGGTAGCAGTAAAAAATGCAAAATAAACAGTAAGAGTAACACCTGAAAGTTTTATGGTAGCATTGGGAGATAGCTGTGTACCAGAGTGATCAATCCATTGAGAGGAAGTAACTAGACATTAAAATCCCAAGAGGAAGCAAGGGCATGGGGAGGGTATTTTGTGGTGGGAAATGCTGTTGGGTTTTTGGCTTGTGGATTTATGGTGAATATTTAACTGAAGTTTGTGGCACAGCAGAAAATGCATAATTGCAATTCAGACGTAAGTTTGAGGGAGGGGAATAGAGTGGTCATGGTGGGAACCATGAAATTTTATGGGCTTTCCTTTCAGGTTGGCAGCAAGAAGTGAAGACCTCAGCCAGGCAACAGATAGGTGCCATGAAAGAAGTAGAAAAAGAGCTAGGAGAATTTATCTTGCCTATTCTTAAAGAAAATACTAAAGATCAGTACTGTCAGAACACCAAGAAGGATTTTTGTTATCAGGATAAATCACGCATGTTTTCACAAGGAGGAAATCTTTGCTGGCCCATTAGTTCTTTCACTGGAGTGTTGGGAGGTAGAACTTGACTGCAAGAAACCATGGAACATGTGGATGGCATGGCCAGGTGGTCCAGTGAGGGGGAGCTGGGTACACCTGGGATGCAAAAGGTGCAGCGCTCAGCTCCAGGGTTTTCCTCTTGATTGCAGGGATTGGCTAGGTGAGAACCTCAGAGGTAGAGGTCTGTGTGTGCAGCACTGCTGCCAGGGCACTGCAGCTGGATTCTCCTGCGGGCTTAGTGGTCTCAGGGCATTCTGTGATGGGGGAATTTTGTGAAACCAGTATGAGGCTTCCACTTTCCACTTCGCAACATTTTATGTTGCCACGAATCCTTTTTTTTTTTTTTTTTTTGTACTGGGGTTTGAACTCAGGACCTTGTGCTTGCCAGGTAAGCACTTATTCTACTGAGCTATCTCCCCAGCCAAGAAGTGTTGTGAGTGTTGAAGTGAAAAAAATATAAATACTTGTATATTTGGTAGATCTGTTGGATACTGTGAATTTCCGAATTTGAAAAAGTGTTTTGCTGGATATTTAGAGCATCGTAGGTAAAAGCTAAGCCCCAATGGAATGCTGTGACCTTAAATACATCCTTTTAGATCTTTTTAAAGTATAAACAGTGAACTTCACTTTTGGGACCGTTTTTCCTTGATTGAAGGCAGTGTCATCAGCCAGTGTGTGTGAGCTCTTGAGCAGGCTTCCCTGGATCCAGGCTGTGCTCAGAGAGAAACTTTTTTTTTTTTTTTTTTTTTAAAAAAAAAAAAAAAAAAAAAAAGGACTGGAGAGCGCCCACGGGGCTAGAACCACTGGCCTGGTGGAAGCCACCAGACCACGTGATTAAATGAATGCTGTCGAAGGAACCGCTGAGCTAAAGCCAGTCCAAAGAGAGAAACTTTTTATAACCTGCTATAGTCTTTTAGTTCAGAACCATGTCTGAAACTTCCTGTTCTCAGAATTTGAAATGTTCACTGTTGGAGTTCTAAGAGAGCAATCATGTCTGGCTTTTTGTTTATGTTTGTTTCCACAGATATGAATCTCCAGAAATAGCTCTAAATTGTGGAATAATGTTAAGAGAATGCATCAGACACGAACCTCTGGCAAAAATCATTTTGTGGTCGGAACAGTTTTATGATTTCTTCAGATATGTCGAAATGTCAACATTTGACATAGCTTCAGATGCATTTGCCACATTCAAGGTAACAAAAGTTAAATACACTTGCAAGATAACAGACATGCTGCTTTTCCTAAGTCTTCTCTGCCCTTGTAGTCTGCATACAGCTGCCCTCTAGTGGAGAGAAGATGGATTTTAATATGTTCGTGTAATGTAGATACTGACAGAAGTTAGCTTTTTGGTTATTGGAGGGGTTGGGGTGTTTGTTTGGTGTTTGTTTTTTTGTACCAAGAATTAAAATCAGGATCTTGCATTTGCCAGGCAGGTACTGTACCACTGAGCTGTATCCCCGGTCAGAAAAGTTAGTTTTTAAAGGGTGGAAAAGTTAGGTTCTAAAGTCTATCAATAAAAAAAAAAGTCATATCAATAAGGCAAAAGTTGAAGTGTAGTTAAAATTATTCAGTTAAATTATCTATTGGTATAGTACATCTGATAACCAGATTTTCTCCTGTGTTGGGCCATTCTGGAGCAGTTTCTTTGGTTAAGCATCAAAGAAAGTATCTGTCTCTGTTCAGGGGCCATGTTCATATGCATATTACTAAGTATTAAAACCATGGTACATTAGAGCCACAATTTAGAGGTAGCCACGTTGTTGACAGGCCCAGGGAAGCTGTGGATTCACCTCTGTGTTCTCTCACACCAGAGCACATTAAGTTCAGGATCAGCTACACTATTCAAATTATTATTTCCTACCTCCCATCATCTATCTTAGTTCCTTTATTGTGGATTTCTGTGAATTAAATACACGGGCTAGGGATGTGGCTCAGTGGTAGAGCTCTTGTCTTGATGCACAAGGCTCTGAGTTTGATCATGTGTGTGTGTGTATGTGTGTATTATAAAACCTACAGATTTTAATGTACATTGTAAGGTCTTGTGCTGTTTAAAGTATATAATAAAGAAGTAATCTTTTTTTTCTACCAATAAAAGCCTTAGAAGTGTTTTAGTATAGCCCGTATTTAGTACATGTAGACTTTTTGGTATTTTAGGGAAGGGTCTACAGGGTGTTCAGGGTCTCACTACTAGATTAGACTCCTAGTGATCCACCTGTTTACAGCCTCCCGAGAGCTGGGATTACAGGCACGCGCCACCACACCCAGTCTCAGTTTCCAACTCAGCATGCCCCGGGGGCAGGGCCAGCATGACTGGCCCAGGGATTGAAACCCCAGCTCCTGCGCCTGCTTGCAGGTGCTTTAATCTGCTGAGCTATTTGGCTGGTCCAGTACATGTAGACTACCTTGCCCAGAATATGAACACTGTCACAATGAGAAATGTTCTCTTATGAGGGCTTGGCTGGGATCATAAAGAGCCCGTGAGGTGATCAGCACCCACTTTGGGCTCTGCATGAGATGTGGGCCTGACAGTGTATGACCACCCTTGGTAGAGGACTGGTCATTGGCATTTCACATTGAAGGAAAAAAGGTCACGGTGGGAAAGGGGGCCAGAGATTTATTTCATAAAACTATGAAAGAAAATGCCAGAAGCTGTAGGTAAGACCTCAATGTATTGTCAATGCATAGAGCAAAACAAAGTGAATATGATTATAACAGAATGGTCACTGTGATGTCTTAGGTATCACCGCAGTGGTGGGCTAGGCCTCATGATTAGAATGCACCGATGGAAGGGAATGCCCATTCAGGAGCAGCAGCGCAGCATGAAGGGAAGTGTAGTGACTCCTTGTGTCAAGGAGAAGGTCCCCTGTGTGGAAGGACAGCCAGGACCCTGAGAGTGGCAGCACTCTGGGCAGTGGGGATGAGAGAAGAGGATTGAGGAGCTGCAGTGTTGTGAGAGACAGCCAGGCACTGGCCACGTGGAGGATGTGCCCCCGGCTCAGATGGCCAAACCAGCTCTAAGGTGAGAGGGATGTGCTGCCTGCACACTGGAAATGTGTTGTCTGACAGAGTCCTGACTGGCCTTGCTGATGACTTCATCCCAATTAAGACTGCTTCTTTCATTGAGCTCTTATCAGGGAGAAAATGGTGCTGATGGAATCCCTGTGAGTAACCAAGTCCTGTCAGGTCTTGGTAGCCCAAGAGACACATGAGGCAGAGCCAGGAAGGTAGCCTCCAGTTGGAGAAGGGAAACTTCAAAAAGGAAGTCAGGACTCTGAGGGTGCACTCCAACAGAGAGGGTTCAAAGCTGGGCTGGCTTCTGTGTCTCAGTGCTCCCGACCACACAGGGGTAGAGCTCATTAGGCTCCTGAACGGAGCCCTCTCCCCAAGAAGCAAGGCCCCTACCAAGACAGTACACAGGAGAGAGAAGAGAAAGGCTCAGAACTGCCATCTGGACACACACGCACATGCGCACACATCCGTGCCCCCCTGTGCAAATGCCAGTTAGAGCAGGCCACCTTAGCAATTCCACTGCACTGCTGACCAAGAGGGAAGGCAAAGCCTGTGCACATCTGCCATTGTTTGCAAGCAACAGCATTCTGATGCGGGGGCCAGCAGCTCTGTCTCCCACCCCTTGGAGAATGCGAAGAACTCCCTTCTCAGAAAGTACTCTCTAACGTAGTTTTCAAACACATATCCATCCACCACCCTAGATGAGGAATCCCTGGAACAGGTTCTGAGTCTAAAGGAAGTTAAAATTATCTGCTCTAAATGAGTTCAAGACTCATAGCTTGAGTAATAGACACTGAAATAGTGAAACCAGATGGCCAAATATTTGTTAGTGAGTTTTGATTTGTTTCATAGAGTTGAGATGGAGAGGACAGCAAACAAGTATATTTCCAGTTTTCCAGAGTAAACAAGTAGATTCCCCAGAGAGGCTGGTGGAATTTGGAGCTGTGTGATGTTCTAGAAAGTATTTCTAAGGAGATGATTTCTCAGCATTTGGGAAAGGGAACTATACCCACAGCCAGCATGGATTCACTAAGAGTAAGTTCAGTCATACCAATCTCACAGATGGCAGTAGGCAGTGGCTTGCAGACATAGCCTGTTTCAGATCAGCTCTGCTGTGGCCTTAGCCTGCATCTCCCCACCTGTTAAGATGTAACAGTGCAAGTGTGTGAGGGTCCCATCCCTCCACATAGTCTGTGTGCAATGTGCAAGTCTCTGTTAGATGGTCCTCTCATGACAGTGAGAATATCCTAGGAACTGGATAATTCTGCAATGTTAGAAACAGTGAAATAGATGGAGATTCAGCACAGTGGTTCACAACTCACTGAATGTCATATTCATCTGTGTTAGCAAATGGATTGTCGTTGCACTGGCCAAAAGTTTTGAGCAGATCTGTACTGGCCGTTGTCCCACCTGACCCTGCTAACATTTTTATTAATGACTAAAAGGGACAGGGCGTATTTACCTAATGTGTAGGTATAGCCATAAAGGGAAAGAGAGTGGTAACAGTGAATGCTAAGAACTCAGGGCCAGCCTGAACTACATAGTGAGACCCTGTCTCAAAAAGTAGATCCTACAATTTGTAAAAGTTCAGAAAGACAAGGATAGAACAGGATAAAATTTAAGTATTTATAACTGACCCCACTGTATAAACAAGAGTTAGGAAGTAGGGCACAGTGTCACACATCTGTAATCTTAGCATTCAGGAGGCTAAAGCAAGAGAATCTGCGAAGTGTAACACAATGGATATAATTAATTTACTGTTATGCTGTACCCTGTGGGGAGGTGCTACATGAGGAAACTAAACCCAAAGGTATTGAGTGAAGTCACTGAGTAAGGAAGATACCCCCTGACCCAGGCAGACTGACTTGAGAGCCCTCTGAAGAACAGGATTCTGAAACATCCAGTAAATTCTACTCCATGCAACCACACTCTGTAGGAGCAAGTGGATGGTCTCACTCCACTCTTTAAGTTTGCAAGTTAACAGCAACCGAAATGTGCCCTTTTCCAGAGGCTCTGCTTTAAGAGGCGCATGGGCAAACAGATGGTTTTCCAGTACACAGTGTTGAGGGGGACTCAGAACCCTGTCGTTCAAGGATTGCTTAGAAAAGCTGATGCTTTTTAGCCTAGAGGATAGTAGTCTTGCTTGGGACTTGCCCTGAGAGTGCTGTTTGTGTTTGAGATGGGGACCTCTAGAAGATAAACCAGACTTATTGTGTCAGCCCTAGCAATTTCCGGACATAATTTGGGGTAGATTTTGACCAGCACAAAGGAGCTTTGTAAAAGCTCCAAAGGTGAACTGCACGGGTGGAAGAATTGAGTTCCATGTCCTTTGACAATCAGATATCCAGTTTGAAATGGGGCCAGTGACATAGAGCCCCAGCTCTATGAAGCTAAACCTACCCTGCCAGGCAGCAGAATGCCCTCAGAGACCCCATGACTTTTGGTCACATGTGATTTAGGGCCCAAACCCAGACTTCTAGGAAGCTTTTTAATTTATCCTATCCTGAAAGTAGCCTACTTAATCTGCTGGACCTGGGATGTGATCCCTGACCTCTCTCCAAGCTATACCAGAGGTTTGGAGATTCTAGAATTTATAAAGGTACAAGTGGCCAAAAGTACCATATTTTTCCCCACTGCTGGCGTAGGGTCATACACACCCTAAACACGGCGAGCTGCTGGCCAAATGCTGACCTTCACCTTTATTCTCTTACCCCCACCACCTGTGTGCTTGGATCTCTCCAAAGCTGTTAGTCACAGTCATCAAGTTAAGGTTCTTTCTCATCTCCCTGCAGACAGAGGCATTACCTAAGGCCCCATTTCCTCCTTCCCAAATTAGTGCCCTCTTTCCCCAAAAATAAGACTTAGCTGAAAAATAATCATCCTTTAAAAACTAGAAAGAAAAAATACCAGTCCTACCAGGCATGATGCCATGCGCCTGTAATCCTAGCTCTTGGGAGGCTGAGACAGGAAGATCTCACCATGAGTTCAAGACCAGCCTGGCTATATAAGCAAGTTCAAGGCCAATCTGGACTACATGATGAGACTCTGTCTCAAAAAATAATTAAACTCCTAGGTTGTCTAATTTTGCCTATTTAACCCTCATGGAGGAGTTGAGAAAAATTAAGTAGGTTTTTTGTGGGGAACAGAGTTTACACCCCTCTCCAGCAGTTTGGACAACCATAAATCTTTGGGGTAGGGCTAGAAGCCTTCTTAAAAGCATACTTTTAAGATTGCTTAATTTGATGTTTTTCAGGCAAGTCTCTTGATTTTCTTGGCTCATTCACTGATTAATTGTTAAGCTCTGCTATCTGCAGGGCACTGCACAGGTGCTAGGGACTCAAAGGTTACTAAATAGACCCCTGTTTGATGGGACTGACAGTCTGGGATGGAGAAACGTTGCTTAAGGGTCCCATAGCTGTATAAGGTCACAGTTGAGACTAGTGCTTGTGTGTACTGACCAGTCAGGAAGGGTTTTCTGAGGAAGTGATCGCAAGCTAGGCTCTGCAGGTTGAATAGTTGGTAACTGGGAGAGGAAAGCCGGTACAAAGGCCTTGGGGGAAGAGGGGATGGGAACAGGAGGTAAGTGACAAAAGAGCTCCCTGTAGAATCCTGAGTCCTTGTGGACCACCACAGGGGAACTGGAGCTGTGCCTTCGCACCTGTGACTGTGCAACATTTCTTCAAAGTTTTTCAGGCCCAGGAGCACACTTCAGCAACCGTAGGAAACACGAGCTCCTTGTAACCTGGGCAGCGTGCAGACTCAACAGGAAGAAGAAGCAAGGAGAGTTGGTTCAGACCAAGGGAACTGCTGGCACTAACCTGTCTAGGAGGTGGCACTGAAGGAACTTCACTTACTACCTCACTAACTACCAGCTCGGCGCTCCTGCCCTCATGCCCCACTTTCTCTCCCCCCAGCCAGAGCAAGGCTAGTCCACAGCTAATTTGTAGGTTCCTAAGGCACAGATGGTATTTTTTTGTCTTTCAGGGCCCAGCACCTAGAATTTTTCCTAGCACATAGTACATTGTTTCCGATTGATCCTTGAGTTGCTTCATAGAGTGAGTATAAGCTCAGTTTATAGCAATGCAGGGTTGTACTGTAGGGCACACAATAAGGTCTACATTTTTGAAGTATTATTTTGATTTCTTAAGAGCTGATGTTTATAAAAGATGGAGCTTTAAAAGAAACATTCTAATTCTGAAAAAAAATGACTAAGGTTTGAAACAATGTAATTGAATTTAAGAGGAAAAGAATAGAACCTTCAGTGCTCCTCTCCCTCTCCATCCCCACCCCCCCCCACACACACCTTTTTTGAGACAGGGTTTACTATGCAGTTCAGGCTGGCCTAGAGCTCACAGAGATCCTCTTGCCTCAGCCTCCTGAGTGCTGGGATTACAGCCGTGCGCCGCCACCCCCATGAGTGCTTTTTCTGTATAAGTACCACGCACTAACTGGTTGTACCGCTAGAACTCCTGGCAGTGCTTTTTGAAATAAAAGAAATTTCCTCTTTCTCCACTAGGAGCTCTAAATGGGCTCAAAATTTTATTTGACATTTTATGGCAGCTGTTAACTCTTACTTTACTGCCTTTGTTGTAGGTTATACTTCCACAGCCTCTTATTTTCAGTGTTTCCCTTTAAGAGTTATGGAGCCATATCTAATAGTCATTTAAGTTGTAATTTCAAGTTAGTTTTGTTTGTATATAGAATCAGCATATTTACTATATAATTCAAACACAGATTATATATGTAAATTTTTAACCAACAGAATGCCATGGAATGTTTTAGGGTTTTCTTAAAGAAATTTAGTGAAGAACTGTACTTTCTTCGCAGGACTTGCTTACAAGACACAAGCTGCTCAGTGCGGAGTTCCTGGAACAGCACTATGACAGGGTAAGTACATGCGGCACGCAGGAGAGGGCACAGTCTGCGTGTCGCGGTGGTAGGCGGTGCCACCACCCCTAACAGAAGCAGGACACGGCCCTTTCATCAGCCCATCGGCCTTCTATTACAAGAGGAAAGTGGGGGCCTGGTGCTGAATGACAAGACAGTACATGGAAGGGGAGAGTGACTACTTGACTCTTAAACCTATGCTTCGTTTTCTGCCAGTGGCTGTATACAAATAGCAGGGACGACAGCGCAGGGCAAGGAGTGCATGACCCGGCCTCTGCCATTGCTCTGCGGGCTGAATGCCGCTTAGGGACCTGGCAGTCCTCCCTGACTGCAAAGTGAGGACAGGGGCTTAGTCTATCAGTAGATCTCTTCCAGCACTCAGAGGCAGACCTCAGAGGTGATAACTGATGTGCATGCCCTGGGCTGCAGTGCCACACGTCTCTACCAGGCACAGGCTCTGCTTTCCACTGGAGCGATCCCCTGGGCAGCCCCAGTGCTTTCCTGGACCACAGCAGTTTAACTGTACATTGTCCAAGACTGGTCCTAAAAGTCCCTGTGTGCCCACAAAATGTGACTGAGGTCTTAATTCTTCCATTAGTGGCTTGTGTCTTTGGAATCTTAAGTATTAATAGTATTTCATTGTTTTCTTTGCTGTTCAACTATATTTTGTGGTTCTTGAAGACAAGAGTCTCTGCTTCCTTATTCTTCTGTGTCCCTTCTGCCGCTCTCCCTTCTCATCCTGGCTGCATGTCACAGGGCAAGTATACTCTAAGGCCCTCAGGAATGGCCTCACAAGGGGCTTCAACATAGCCCGTTCGCTACTCTTTATTTCTGCTCTTGGCTTGTTGCTTTTGTATTCTGTTAACATGAAATGACAGCACTGTTGTTTCCTTGGAGCCTTGTCATTATTATAGGGGAAGACTCAAGGGCTTAGCGTCAGACTGCGGGGCCTGGCTGCCCCTGCCGGCCCTCCACGGTGCTGAGGAGGCCCTGGGCAGCTGCCGCCACTCACCCTCTGTGCCTGCAGGGTACTCAGCCTGGAAGGGGGACCTGCACCTGGGAATGGGAGGGTTAGGGAAGGGTGGGTGTGGCCCGGCACTCAGTGCTAGAGGATACTTAAGTGTTCAATAAATGCTACTTGTTTTAGTATTATTGCCATATAGCCTCAAACTATTTTTTTTAAAAAACAGAGTATCTTAATTTAAAGCCTACCAAAAATACACGCTATCTATTAATCTTCAAGAAATTCACTACACAGCTGGGCATTGTATTGCATTCCTATAATCCCAGCACGTGAGAAGGTGAAGCAGGAAAATTGTTGTCAGTTGAGGAGCAGCCTTGGTGCACTTCAGAAGCACAGTTAAGGCCAGCCTGCACTATATAGTGGACTCTTACCTCAAAAAAAGAAAAGAATTCACTACAAGCAGTGAATCCTGTCAGTTTTGCAGTAAGACAGTTCGCTGTATGTTACTAATAAATAACATTAGCTAACACAATTTTAGAAAACCAAATATGAGGCACTCAGCAGAAATGTGTACAGTGCAGGAAAGTCAGAGGGAAAAGGAAAATTGCTAAATTAAGGTCAAATTTGAGGATATTATACAAAGATGCATAGTATCCAAAACACTCGAGGGGTGGTGGTGGTGGTGTGTACCTTACTCCCAGCATTCTGGGATGATGAGGCAGGAAGTTTTCAATCTCAGATTCAGCCTGGGCAATTTAGCAAAACCCTGTCTTAAATTTTTAAAACTTGGGGCTGGAGAGATGGCTCAGTGGTCTAAAGCACCTACTTGGAACAAGCTTGGCAAAGCACAGGGACCGCGGTTCTATCCTCCAGCACCACATGCCAGCCAGCCGCGCCCCCTGGTGGGCTGAGCTGGCCACACACACACACACACACACACACACACACACACACACCACACACATACAATAAATGTTAAAATAAAAAAAATTTTAAAAAAAAAAAAAATTTAAAACTTAAAAATAGGAATAGGGATGTAGGTCAGTATAAAGGCCCTGGTTTCAGATACCATAACAGTACTGAAAACTGAAAAATTCCCTGAATACTTTGGCACTGAATTATTTAATAATCAAAAGCATAGTGGAAAACAAAATCCATTAAAAGATTGTAATATTTATAAGGGCCAGCCAGATAGTTCAGTGGACTAAAGAGCCTGCTTAGGCAGGCACAGCGACCAGGGGTTCAATCCCCAGCCTGCTGTGCCGGCCCTGCTCCTGAGGTGCACTGAGACAGCAGCTGACTCTGGGCGAGGTGGCATGCGCCTGTAATCCCAGCGCTTGGGAGGCTGAAAACAGGATCACTACGAGTCCAATCTGTGTAGTAAGACCCTGCAGACCCTGTACTAAATTCATAAATACTATATATATGTATATATAGTCTTATGTTGCGTACTATGTATGGTACTGCATGTAAGAGTTATGCAAATAAAAGTAAAGTCATAGAGTTGAAGCTTCCTTTGGCCAATCTGTTTGAATTACTGTAATGTACACACTGAGTACAGTTCTTCATTTAGCATAGCTAATTCATTTAAGGACCTAGTCACAGGAATGTAACTTGGTCATTAAACGAAAAATGCCTAAAATGGAAACTCAGATGATTCATTCCACAGTTCAGAAATATTCTTGAAAGGATTACAATGTCATAGTATAATACAAAATAATAAAATATAAAGAAAAATAACCTGTATTTAACTTTGAAAGCCTTCATGGCTGATGTGAAAGAGACAGAGAACAGTGTTAACTGTGCAGGATGGCTTCCGCTATCACGGGGATCCCTGCTGTCTGTTGGCTTCTTGGAATCTTGCTTTTTGGACAACTTTAACAAGAACCCTGTCTGATAACATTTGCTTTTGCCTCCTTTTCATGATTTCCTGAAAATGTGACCACACTGTTATTGAACAGATTCATTACTCCCACCACTACAGCCTTATTTGGATGGTGTTTTCCTACAAAATTTCACAGTTTCTCACATTTTATACATCTGCCTAATCTCACCTGAAATGAGGGATTCCTCTGCCTTTTTCTCCTCTTCTGTAGATACGATCTCCTCTATAGCCTCTTGCTTTGGAGAGTGACTCGCCCATAATTCCCAGAGAGAGACAGGAGAGGGGAGGGAGGGAGGAAAGAACTATGGACTCAGTTGTGATCCTGCGGCATTCGGTGTCACCTACTTGTATTGCCAGACATTGCTCGCTTGTCAGGTTCGAATCTGAGAAATGCACGCTTGGCTCGTGAAGTATTCACCGAGCAAGTTACTTGCGATCCAAAGTGTCTCTGTGTTCTGGTTGCTCCGAAGAAATAGCCGTTCTAGCCCTGGTGCAGTGGGCTAGTTGTGACCTCAGGCCTTAATTTGCCAGCCCCTGCTCTAAACCAGTGGCTAGTGAGGACCCACCCTATGACAAAGGGGCACGTGGAGTCAATGAAGCAGGAATCCTCTGGCACAGTGATGGCAAACCTGTTAGAGACAAGGCCCAAGCTTCAGTCTAAAACCTACTTGATTTTCATCAAGCACCACTCCATTTAGACCTGACTTTTAGATTAGGAAAAAGCCTCTCATATGTTAATACCTTTTGTCTTAAAAACAACCCATGTACCAAAGAGTGATTGCTACTGTCCTGGTGCCTACACAACCAGTGAAGAGTCAGGAAAGCAACAGAATGACACTAGCTTTGCAAACACATAGAGCATTTTAAGCTTATCCATAGCTAAACAAAATAGAATGACCCTGTCTGCCAAGTGCTTAGAGAAAACCTTGGCTCCTCCATGCCCATCAGTTCTATTTTTTAGTCCAAGAAAAAGTCCTGGGAATGGAACCCAGGCTTTGGACACACTAAGGCAGCGCTGTGCAGCTGAACCCCTTGCGCAGCCCCTCAGCAAGCAGGCTGGGGCAGCTGTGTTCAGCTCTCAGATTGGATCAGCGTGCGTTCCCAGGTCATCTCTCAGCCTGGGCACTTCATTGTGTTTCCCCTAGAAAGCACTTTTCTCCTCTGTTTCTAAGTGGAATCCTTCTCCAAGTTAGAGCCTAAATTGTACCTTCTGTGGAGTCTCCCAGCTAACACGGTGCTGAGTTTCTCCTCCCTAGACTTTAATTATTTTCTCTCTTTGCTTGATATGAAAAAGAACAGGTAACTTTTCTCTTTGTGGTTGCTTTGAACAAATTGAATCCTCATTGATAAAAAATAAGAATCCTCTATTCTAACACCAAGAAACAAAGGCTGACTCAGCTGTGGGGAAACCAACAGGGAAGAGGGCTGTGTTTTGTGCATGTGTCAGTGGGGGTGATGGGGACCTGGATCCAAGTGAATTGTGGGAATCAGTTCCAAGAAATTGTCACAAAGATGGCAGGCAGTGCCACCCAGGAGGAGATGCTGGAGGCCTCAGGAAAGTGTTGGAGCCTGTGGCAGCCCAGGACGGGGGTGAGCACTGGCCTTGGTTGGGTGAACAGTCTGCCCTTAAGCTCCATTCTATTGTTTATCAGTCTTTTCTCAGATAACCCTGGTGTGCTTTTTTGTCTTAGTTTTTCAGTGAATACGAGAAGCTCCTTCATTCAGAAAATTATGTGACAAAGAGACAGTCACTAAAGGTATGATAGCTTCCTTTGTTTTTTTTTTTTTGTGCTACTTTATATTAAATAGGGTCTTGCTTTGTAGCCTAGCTGGTCCTAAAACTGCATAACCCAGGCCAGCCTCAAACTCAGAATCTGCCTGCCTCAGCCTTCCAAATTCTGGGATTTTAAGTGTGAACCACACACCCAGCTCTGATGTATTCTTTATCTTGTGTCATTTTCTCTCTTCGCCCTATGTTTGAAGTTTGAATTTGAGAAAAGGAAGACATGCTATTATGAGTGTAGAAACAACTTTGGAGGAAAATACATTTGTCCCTGATGGGGGGTTTGAAGCTAAGTACAGCACTTAGCAGTGGTCCGTGCAGCATACCTGCTACCTCCTTGTAAGGCAGAGACCATAAGGAAAGTAAAGACATTTGAAGAGATCTTCACATTGTAAATTGTGAAGCCCATCCTTTAAAGTTTCAGATCATGCCAACTAGATGAAGGCAGTCTAGATGTTGTGTGCCGAAAGCTGCTGCCTGTGTAGCACAGGCTTCCTGTGAGGGGCAGGGACAGCAGGTGACCCAGCCACAGTTTCAGCTGCTTTGTATCAGAACAGAAAGAGGGCAGTTCCAGTTGAAACTTTAAAATGTTAAACTCAAAATGTAAACTCTACAGTAGAGCCTGGCAAATGATAAATACAATGTGCCCAATAGCTGCCTATTTGTATAAGTAAAGGTTTGAAGGAACGTGGACGTGCTTGAGCATATATTGTCAGGACTGCACAGTGTGGCCTACAAAATCTAACATGTTTATTGCTTGGCACTTAGAGAAAGAGCTTGTTACCCACTGCCCCAAAAATTCTTAGAGGTTAATAGTGCATACATAGTCCTGTCCTCCTACATCCTGTCAGTAAGTGGTCTGACAAAAACTGTTGTATAGATGGAATCACAAAGAATCAGGGGAAAAATCATCATTTCATTGAACTGTTTTGTCAGGCCCATTTTAAATTGAGCTCTGCCCAAGGTCTATCCTCTGAATTCATATTGATAAGAACTCCCCCTTCCAGCCATGGGGAAATCGCACCTGAAGACCATATCTGTGGAAAGATACAAAGGACATTAGGAGCATCTGTCATGCTTTGTGTCCTTTGATGAGAATGCTCTCTGCCCTGCACTACCAGTGGAGCTCTTACATCTGACCAGCTACTTCTTTGCCCTTAAGGCTATAATGGCTATAATCAGGGAACAGTGACAGCCCAGCTTGGGGTCATAGCACTACTGCAGTAGCCCAGGCAGGCCCAGCACTTTCTGTGCACTGCTGTGATAGAGGCCGCCCTCCCCACAGCCTTGTGGCTTGGTGTGGAGAATCTGCACCTTGGCCCTTATCCCTGCCTCCAGTATTTTGGTTAGGTGATCATCTTTTACTTCTGTGGCTGCCAAGGATGGCATTTGTTTCTTCAGAGTTCATGAGGAACTTACGGAAGCTGCTGGGGCCCCTTCTCTTCTGCGCTGTTAGTGTGTCAGAACAGAGTCCCCCATGCCTTTCCTCCTCTGTGAGCCCTGAAGGGCCAAGAGAGCACAGCTCAGAGCAGCCTGAGTCCAGACAGGAGATCATAGGATAGCGGCTAATAGGGCCAGCGCCTCTTCACTGGGGAAGAGATGCTTGACTACTAACGTGGGACAGAAGTTTGGACTCCTCAGCAGCTTGGATGAGGAGGGAGAAAGGGGCCCCTGTGCCATTCAGAATTACCAGCTTAAAAAGAAGCGTGGGTCGTCCCTGCCTAAGCTATAAGCCATGTAGAGACCACACTGAACATATCACGGACACAGAGCAGTGCTACTGTAAACATGAACTATTTTTGGCAGCTGTATCGGCATTTATTTTGTGATGTTTATTTTGCCAGCAAATTTATATTTCCTTTATAAGACTTCAAGTTCAAGGTTTTCGTTTTTATGTCCAAAGAAATAGTTTAGCAGTCATCTTCCCTCAGATAACTAAAGTGAGCCTTTTTCAGATTTTCTTTGGTTTCTTAGGTTAAAAACCATGAAAGCTATAAACATTTACATAATACTAACTTGAGTCTTCCTAAAAACATATACAGATAGCTTTTCACCTTGGAAATTGTACATTTTGTGATTTCCTATTGATTGGAGGTCTATAAGCTTTTGAGAGCTTACTGTAAATTTTATAAATCCTAAGTAGATGGATTTCTTACACAATAGATCTGTTTATTTGCTGTGTTGACAAGTCACTTCATTAGAGATGAGGTACCTAGAAACTTCTGGGTCCTGGGACAGCCAGGAGCCAGAAAGGAAACCAGAAGCAGTCACACCCTGCCCAAGAGCAATTGCCCTCCTGTGTGTCAGGGCTCAGGGCTGCACTGCACACCAACACCACCACCACCACCCCCAGCTGCTAAGCCAGAAGCACAAGTGTATGAGCACCTCCCGAGGGTCCAGAGCACAGGGAGAGGGGGCCGGGTCCTCACCGTTGCCACCCATGTGCTGCCCTCGAGGGCGAAGGCTCCTGCGTGACACAGGGCCTGCACACTGGACTGTAGTTACCTCCTGACCCACAAACAACCTGGAGCCAAGCAGAACAAGCAGTGGTAGCCAGGCCTGTAATCCCAGCACTTCGGAGGCCAAGGGAGGAAGATTGCTGAGTTTGAGGCCAACCTAGACTAGAAAGTAAGTTCGGGCCCTGGCTGAACTACATAGCAAGACTCGGCCTCAAGGGGGGAAGAAAAGCAGTGGTAAACACTGTAGGCTTCTGATATAATCAGCTCTACACCCATCAGTAGCCCTGAAGTAGACAAACGGTTTCAGCTTATGGACAAAGTGTATGATGACGCATATGGTCTGTGGGAGACTGTGCTTCAAGAACAAAGGCCTGCAGCCTCTCTAGGCATCTCCGAGTGTTAATGTGGTACCTCTGGCATGTAGAGGGGTCAGGATATGGAAAATTGGTTGTGAAACCTTTTATCCCTTAATGTCCAGTTAAGTACAACTTAAAACAAAAGAATTTTTTTTAATGAAGCTAAGGCTAGTTACCAGGAATTGCCAGTAACTTTTCCCTTGCATGCTTTCTTGGGTCGTTTCTTCTCTGTATTAATGAGTAGGCCCAGACAGCCTCCAGTCCTGGGCCAGGAGTCCTGTGTGCTCCTGAGAGCAGTGTCCTCTGGGCCACCAGCCTGGTACACAGTGCACCCAGGTTAGGAGCTGCAGGGAGCAGTGCACCGTGCCACTCAGGGCTCAGCCCAGCAGGCCACTTTTGAGGTCCCCAGCTAATACTCTAGGCTTAATAATAATGTTTGAAGTTTGAATTTGCTTTAAATCTTAATAGTAATGTAAGAATAATTGTTTAAATATCTTCTTAGCTTCTCGGTGAACTACTGTTAGATAGACACAACTTCACAATTATGACAAAATACATCAGTAAACCTGAGAACCTGAAATTAATGATGAACCTTCTACGAGACAAAAGTCGCAACATCCAATTTGAAGCCTTTCACGTTTTTAAGGTATAGTACACAAATCATCAACAGTGTTGTCCTCCATGACTGTTCAGTCACTTTTCATATTTGTGTGGTACAACATTTACACAGACTTGGAAACGGCATGTAGCATTGGGTTGGGAGCCAGTGTATATAATGTGGTTTACCTGTGAACATTGTTCATCACTGAGTGAAACCCTTTTTTAATGCTTTCCATATAAGTTTTCATTCTTAAAATCCAGTCAGGCCAAAGATGTAGCTCGGCAACTTCATTGCCCGCCTGGCAAGTACAAGGTCCCAAGTTCAATCCCCAGTACCAAAAAAAAAGAAGAAGAAGAAAAAAAAAAAATCCAGTCAGACTCGCTGTCACCAGAAATAATTTCTTCCCATTTTATTCTAAAATCAGTCTATATTAAATACTAACCCTTGTATTTCAAGGCTGACATAATGAGCTGGCAGTCTTCTATGTTGAAAGATACTCATGTTTTCTGTGTATTGTATAAAATAAGTTCTTCTAAAGCCAGGACTCCCCTGCCCTCTGTGGCCTCCCACAACCCGGGCACCTGGCCTATCATGACCCCAACTCCTGTGTGACCACCCTGGCTGTCTCCCCATGCAGGTGTTTGTGGCCAACCCCAACAAGACGCAGCCCATCCTAGACATCCTCCTCAAGAACCAGACCAAGCTCATCGAGTTCCTCAGCAAGTTCCAGAACGACAGGACCGAGGACGAGCAGTTCAATGATGAGAAGACCTATTTAGTTAAACAGATCAGGGATTTGAAGAGACCAGCTCAGCAAGAAGCCTAATTTCCAATAAACATCTAAAATATTAAACCCAAATTCAGCATTTGCTGTTAGCTATTCAGCATCAGGCACTCTTACCAATTCATGAGGAACATTACTGCTAATCTGCTGTTAAGTGAACGGTTTTCATTTTTACCATTTTGTTTTTCAGTCCAGGTTGGAGAAAGTAGCTGCTGCTGCTGCTGCTTGCACACCAGAGCGCATGGGGCTTCCTCTTGATCTTTTGTTATTGCTGGGAAGTTCTGACCATGTGGGTGCGTGGAGGGATGAAGGGTGAGAGTGGTTGGGAAAGAGGGCATGGATGGCACCGGCTCCGACAAGACCAGCTCAGCCCTGTGTGCTTCGCTCCTTTGGTGAGGACCCGCCCCGCACGGCATGTGCGCCTAGTCCTTCGCGGATCCTTTTCCTTCCCCAAAGGAAGAATGCATGTGCAGAGCTGTAGTGGCTGCCAGAGGGGAACGCTGTCTGAGACACCAGCTTTTGAGGTGGATAGAAAGGTGACATGCAAATAGATACTGAAGCTTACCAACTTCTCAAAGGTGTGAAGCTGAATAAGATCATAAGGAAAATGTATATATGCTTTACACAGCTTTCTAGAACTTTCTGACATTTGATTTTCATGAGACTTGTAAACCTGGATATGTTGAAGGGTATTGGTTAATTTTTTGAAGGTATTTTAAAACAGTAGAGCTAGCAATGACACCTTGCATTTCATTTCAACACTGCTTACAGGTTTCTTTTGTATATAATTCTTAGGATGCTCATTTCTTTTAAAAGGTTTAATTTGTACAGCAGAGGAATGTTATTGTAGTAGTATGTAACTATTATCTAATACTGAGTTTTTGCAAAAAAAAAAAAAAAAGAATGCTCATATGTAATTGAAATACTTCAAATCACATGAAAATGCTGATTTAACATTTAAGGATCACAGCATTAAAAGAAAAGTAAACCAATCCTTTATATTCAGTTACCTAATGGGATGCCCATAGTAGGCAGCACCACAGGCCTGGAACTCAGTCCGCTCCACTTCCCTGCATAATATTGGCCTTATTTGTTTAAAATGAGTCCCAAGATTGCCAGATCTTTGGATCAAACCAATTATGCTAAACTAATGCTGATTCGTGGGGGTGGGGGTGGGGCCTCTGTAGAGCACCTTTTTTTCCTTAGAGTACATAATCCAGTACAATAGTTGTGAAACTGATTAATTAAAACTTCGGTTTCTCTAGAAAGAGTTCCTAGTCCTAGGTGTCCTATGGGGAAATTTATTTTTTTTAATGTCCTGTTCCTTAATGCTGCAAATTATCAGTATTTATAAAGTACCTGATTTTGCACCACTTTGTTACTGTGACCACGGCAGAACAATGTCTTCTAGACTCTCCATGTAGTTAGAATGGCATCTGTTCATCTTAGTGGTGTGAAGATCACAAGTAACAACTTAGGAATCAGAGTTTGCCAGTTCGAATTCAGCATGGCTATAGCTGATTAAGAAATTTATATAATTATTCTTTGCTAGCCTGTCTTACTAATTGAATTATTTATTGGCCAGTAAAATGAGCCTCCCAATTGATGTTTCAGCAGGTTTTGAGATCTTCAGGTAACACCAATTAGGAAAACTTCTCCAGAAAACACAGATACATTTTCTTTGTGTAATTTAGTGGCAGTCCACAGTCATTGGTTTTTCTGAGGCTGTCTTTACAAGAATCTTAAGTGAAATAATTCATGTTCTCTCCTGGAAGTAGGGAAGCCATTTGTTCTCCTCAAAGAGACACCTCTCAGCTGTTAGGAAGGCAGACTCCCCGTGGTGAGCGTGTGGGTCTTGCAGTCTGGTGCTGGGTCAGGCTTCAGCATGAGAGCAGTCATGGCGCAGAGTGGAAGAGACGATTCTCTGCCAGGTTCTCGGAACTGTTCGCTGCAGCGCGGCTGCCTCCCTCCCAGTAGCCCTAGAGCCTCTCCCGTGGAGGGCGGTGCAGCGCATTGGTGAGCACCCGTGCACTGCCGGCCCAGCCAAAGCTGAAGGTCATTAAGACTTTCTGCTTTTCTGTTTTTAAACAAAGCAGCATGAAAATATTCCAAATTTGAAAGTGGCATTTGAAATTACGATCATTTAATGTATTCATACTACAAAAACTGTTATACTGGAAGTGGTTTCTTTTTGTGCTATAAAGGTTCAATTTTACTGAAGGAAATTAATGACATTTTTTTTAACCCTTTAAAGGAAAAAGTGGAGATGTAAACAGTTGTTAATGAAAGCATTTCCTTTCTCTTGAGGAAAAGTGAATTTCTTATCAGAATATCTGGCTGGCCCTGTAATTTAAATTAAAATAAAATTTTGGAGAAACAACAGTGTCCATCTTCATAATGTCTTAGTAGCATTTGTGCCATTGTGAAAAGGCACAAGCACGGATTTTGTCAAAAACTAAACAGAGAACAGTTTGACACACAACGCACCTCTTAACCCATTTAGGTCTTGCCCTCGAGTGCAGGCTCTGCGTACCTTCTCCCCGTGGTAGATTCTGCGCAGTCTGACACGCCGTCACAGCCGCCCCCTAAGCCCTGCGCCTTCAGGCAGCCTCCGCAGTTCGTTGTCCTGCTGCAGTAGCTGCCGGAGGGAGACGGGACTGACGCTGCTGGCGCGGACTGAAAAGGGAGGGCATGGAACGGTGGGGTGGCTTCCTTCGGGGCGTCTGCACCCCTTGTGCGCACCCGGACTTTTCCTGCCCTTGTCAGGGACTTGGGGAGTCCTGAGAATGCGCTCTGGCCCTGAATGCTCCCTTTGAACAGCAGCAGCATCTTCTCGCTGTGTAACATGGAAAACCGCAGGGTCCTGGGAGCCGCGACGTATGCAGGTGTCACCCCAGCTCATGTCCTCTCCTCCCCTTGCCACAGTGCTCCAGGCCCACGCGGGTGCTGAGGCCACTCCCAGCCTGTGGGTGGAGATTTGCAAGAAGAGGCCCTCCCTGGCAGGGCTGTCCAGGGGCAGTCCGGTTCACAGGTGGCCTCCCGCAGGCTCTGCAGCCTCGCATCCCAGAGCCCCCTGCCCCAACCATCAGCTTTCCAGAAGGTGAGAGCAAGGCGCTAGTCTCCAGCCCATGCAGCACTCCCCGTGGGCCTTGCACAAAGACCTCCCTGCAGCTGCACGCACCCACCTCAGCCTTCTGCTCAGATCGGCAGCAGTTTCCACCCAGCCAAGCAGCGGGAGTGCCCACCCGTTCTTTAAGAAAGCTTCTCCAGGGACGCTGGCGGCTGTACATGGCAGTGTCACATTTTAGCTCAACAGAACCGCTCCACCTGGGCAATCAGTGTGTACTACCTAAATCTTGGTGTCCGTGGAAATAGCTGGCTGGCCCTGGCTTCCAGGCCTGCAGCTCCCACCTGGTACCAAGGTGAGTGGTGGCAACGCAGGAGCTCCCAGCAGCTTCTGTGCAGGCTCTGCCCAGCTGGCTCGTTCTCACAGGCTGGAGCTTGAAGTCCCGTGATCCCCTTGGAACTGCCCCACCCCGGGTTCAAAGGACCCTCCCTGGAAGTGCCTCCCACACCCCAACCTCAGCAGCTTTCCACCTTACAAAGTCCTTCCGGAGCCAGGTGGTAAGCACTGGGCTCCCTCTTGTGCAACAGAATCTGGTCTCGCAGCACGTGGGCAAGGTCGCTGCCAACCTACGTCACTTAACAGGAGAGTCAGTGTCTCTGCTGCCTACTGTGATCCCCCATGTCCCTGCCTCAGTGCCCAGCTCTGACCCAAGTGTAGGAGAGCCTTCTGCCCCAGTGGGGAGGACAGTAGCCCCTTGCAGAGGGACAGTGTTCTCTCACCTTCCAGGGTCCGCAGCACAGCAGAAGGGCTGAGCCTTGACTCCATAGGAAGCTTTCATTTCACGTCCACTCTGTACAGCGTTTCCTGAGCTCAAGTCCCAAGAAAGCGCTTGGCAATGAAAGCCTTGTCCCAGCGTCAGCTTCTGGGGACAGCCAGACTGACGCCAGCTCCGTGTGTCCTTTCTGCTGAAGGCTATGGCCTTCCTGATGAGAAGAGGCTGGGCAGACAGCTCCAGAGAGCCTGGGCCCCCGTGTGAGCGCCAGAGCTGACCCCAGGGAGAGGGCTGCACAGCAAGGCTGCTGCACACCACAGCTCCTGCTGACCCAGGGGCTTCCCAAGGCCCAGGCACCTGTCACCCTTACCACACCCCAATCAACTGAAGCTCCAGAGTCTTCCTTCAAGATCAACAGGGCAAGGCAAAGCTACCCTCAGCTCTCAAATTGTCCTTCACAGTCACCAGACAGGCTAAGGAAACCAAGAAAGTCCCCACGATCTCCACTGCCCCCTCTGAAAAAAACTCACCGAGTGCTTGCACAATGAGAGGATGCCCCTCACAGGAGGCCTCTGGAGAGCCTGGCCCCAGCCTGTGGCCCCCCCAAGGCCATACCTTCTGCAGCCAATGTGTCCATATTTTTTCTCAATTTTAATTGCATTCTTTTCAATATATAGTAAATATATTCCGTGTGAGGAAATTGATATATGCACATCACACCTTTTTCCTCTCTCCTTCCTCCCCCAATCCCAATCCAGATATCCCACCATTTTTAAGAACCAATTCTTTTTTTTTTTTTGAGACGGGGTCTCCTATGTAGTCCATCCTGGCCTTGAACTCACTATTGAAGCCAGGGCTGGCTTCAATGCTGTGGTGGTACTCCTGCCTCAGCCTCCCAGTGCTTGGGCTCCAGGTGGGATCCACCATTCCCGGCCAGAAACAACTCTAGTTCATTGATCCTTTAGGTTTTTATTTTGTGGTGCTCCATTTGTGTCTCAGTTTCACTCACTATTACTGGTCTTCATAATCTCTTGCCTTCTGTTAGCTCTCTAGGACCGTGACGTACATCATTAGGTCATTGATTTGGGATGGGCGGTTATTTTTACATGTGCATTTACAACCATCATGTTCCCTCTTCGAACTGCTGTCCTTGTCCCACAGGTGTGACATGGTGTGTTTACCCTGTCATTTGGCTCTGGGAACTTTTTATTTCCTTATTTCTTCTGTGACCCACTACCCATCCTATATTATT